TCTCTCTCTTGAGCTGTTTTGTTGGTTCCCAGAACCTAACAGATTCAATATCCTTTTATTCTCTTAAATGCTCTCTATGAGGCATAGGGATCAATTTTGCTCTGATTTAGGATCCCCCTGGGTTGTTTTGGTCCAAGAGAGACCTTTTTTTTTTTTTTTTTTTTTTTGGTAAGATATGTTCTAGAAGTTTTGAGGGCCCCAAACATGGTAAAATTGCCCACATATCCCCTAGAGAATATGTTGGGGAAGATTGCTTTTGCTGTTGTTGTTGCAGGGGTTGCAGTTTGTGAGGAAGATGGCTCTCCAAGTTGTCCTGGAGAAACTACATGTCCTTCTAACCTTTGTGTACCCTTACTGTTAAATAAGATTTATTCTGGAGCACCCCAAAGACTTAGCAAGACCAGCCTATTGTTCCCATAGCAGCCAACCAGAAGCCTCTTGGAGGCCCAGAAGCGGATTGGGCAACCATTGGGCGGTATATAAATAATAATAATAATAATAATAATAATAATAATAATAATAATAATAATAAAGATGTGAGGGTGAAGGCCCTCTCCTATCGTTATTCCCCCAGCAGCTGGTATTGAATAACAGCCTGCCTCTGAACCTGGAAGGAAGAACATAAGTTATCTTGACAACCAGCCACTGACAGATTGAACTTCCACGAATGTGTCTAATTGCCTTTTAAAGTAATCTAAGTTGAAGACTGTCACCACCTCTTGTGGTAGCAAATTCCACCACTGAACTATGCGCTGACCTGACCTTCCTTCTCTTGGAGATAGGAGGAGAAGCAAACAAGTGCTTCTAGTATGCTTGGCATTTGTGTTCTGGACCAGTTCTCAGCCACCTTCTATTTTTACTGAGGAAGGGATTAACAGTTGCGGGTGGCTTTGTGGCTGCCCTCTTGTTCACACCTAATTTGCTCTTGACACCTCTTCACAACTTTCACAATAGCTGTGAAGTACTTCCCAATTTGGAAGCCCCATGGTCTGATAAGGGAGGGTGAAACAAATAGGAAGCAGGGATTCTGTTAACAGGGCTGAGCTTCCTCAGATATTTCCAAAGGGTGCTTCAAACCAAATCACTCTTTCTTTGGACAATGTCAGGCACTCCCACTTGTAGGGAAGGCAGGGTTTTAAAAAAGCATCTTACGGTACACCTACAAATAAAACAGTCTCACCTAGTTTTCACAGTGAGCTGTTCAAATGATGTACGGGATGACTGGGGCCAAATCTGGACCTTTTTATCATCTCTGGACTTTAATGTGGAGGAAAAGAAAATGGGGATTTATCCTGGTTTTGAGTAGAAAATCTGGATATTTGTGCATGTGGACTGCACAATAGCAATTTCAGTGTGAGGTGTGTGTGTGTGTGTGTGTGTGGGAGGGTTCAGAAATATGTACATTTGCATTTGTATAGGGGGGGGAATTTAAAAAACCCAAGAGTAGTCATGACTGTGTGGCTGCACATACCAGGATTTGGTGGACCGGGGTATGTTTGAAAGAGACAACTGTGTGGATACTTCTCCCAAGCTCACCTCAGTCTGTGTAGCCCAGGGGTAGGCAACCTTTCCCCTTTAAGGGCCGAGGGACTTCAGCTCCCAGAAGCCTCAGCCATGTTGGCCAATAGTCCCATGTTGGCCAATAGCTCCTGGGATTCTGGGAGCTGAAGTCCCTCGGCCATTAAAGGGGAAAGGTTGCCTACCCCTGGTGTAGCCCTTGGTTGCTGCAGATCAGGGTAACTTGAAGGTAAGTTGGATTTTCCTGTCGGTTTCCAGAGAAAAAAAATAGTGCTTGAACAGGCATTGCAATCATTTAATAGCCAAAAGAAAAAGATTTTTTGTTTTGTCACTGTCATGAACAAAGACAATACTGAGGATGAATGGTTGTGAAATGACTAACAATTCTGGGGAATACCCAGAGGCCTGGCTGTCTCTCTGACTACCAAATACCAGCCTTACATATCAAGTGACAATAAATGTAGTTTTCTTTGTACAACATTACTGAAAGGGCTCACTTGCTGGTCATATTGTAGAATTATGGAATTGGAAGGGACCAATCAAGTCCATTTCACTTTCATGCAGGAATACACAATTCAGTACAATTCAAGCACTCTTGAAAGATGACCATTTAACCTCTTTTAAAGAACTCAAAGTATCCACCATCCTCTGAAACAGTTCATTTCACTGTTGAACAGTCAATGCGTTCTTCCAAATGTTTAGGTGGAATCTTTTTTCTTGTAATTTGAAGCTATTGGTTTGTGTTCTAGTCCCTGGAGCAGCAGAAAACAAGCTTTCTCCATCTTCTATACAACATTCCTTCAGATATTTAAAAATAGTCCATCACATCATCTCTCAGTCTTCTCTTCTCCAAGCTGGATATTCATATTATGATAGCAACATTTTCCCAAAAAACTGGTGATCTTCTTCTATGCAATGGTTTGTCCTATGTGTGTGTGTGTGGTTTTTTTTTTTTTTTTTTTTTTGATCTGTGGTTTAATGTTAACTTTAAGCAGATTTTTAGATAACTTGGGGAAGGGACCAGACAAGTCAGAAAAGTGTGGTATTAATATTTTAGAAGATACATAAATAAATAGGCCAGCCAGCCAGCCAGCCAATAGCTCTGGGGGGGACAGGTCTTCAGTGGATGAGCCCTTTCAAATCTTGGTACAGATGCTGGGAAAGTTACCTTCATGAACTATATATCTTAGAATCTCCCAACCAACATGGTAAGTGCCCATGATGGATGGCAGATTATGGGAGTTATAGCACAAAAGGGCAACTTTTCCAACTTCAGCTTGGTACTATATCTAGTGCAAAACTAAATACATTGGCTAGACTGTGCTTTTTAACATCTTATTTTTTTTAATAGCTCCCATCCTTGTGGCACTTTAGTAGTCAAGATCATCTCTTCTTCCTCGATTCAGTTTTGCTTTTAGATTCCTCTGCTGTCCCATGAAGAACACTGTTAAGTCTAAGCATTCTTACATCCCTTACTCTTCCTTAATGCAAAATTGTGTGGGATTGCATTCAGGGAAGTAATTTCATACTGAACATTCCTAACAACTCCCCAATATTTGACATTTTAAAACATATAATTCACTATAAAGAGAGAGAAAAGCATATATTAAGTTTTGATACATTGAAGCTATCAGGTTGAGCATCTGAAAGATTTGGACTGGAATTGGAAAATGAGTGAGAGAAAACAGCAGAAATATCCTAGTTGTCTTATGCTTATGTCTTCATTGCTTGTTCAATGTGGAACATGGACTTCCAAGCCACAGTCTACCCAGTATGGTGTTCCTAAATGGACTGCTGAGTTAAATCGACTATCAGATTCCATTTATGAACCTTAAGAAGTTTTTAAAATCCCCTTTCACAGTGGTTGTAGTGCTCCAGATCCTTGGCTGCTTTCCACTCTCAAAGCTGTTTGGGATAAACAAGGGGGAAGGGCAGCTGAACCAATGTCATATGGGATGAGCCTCTCCTCTTCTGTCAGAGACTTTCTCCCCACGTGAGACTTCTCAGAAATGCATCATTTTCAAAGATGTCTGGCAGTATGGAGAAAACTGATTAAATTATTTGTTCTCTCTGGTGGCTATGAATAATTTAATACATCACATCCCAAATCCCCTCCTTTTTATTAGCAGGAGATTTGACATCATCTACCACCCCTCTTGGATTCCTGTGTTCACTTTGAATTTAGTGCAATTCTCACAGAAGCTGAAGAGGAATGGATTTTCCCTGCAGCCATATATTTTTGTGAGCTATCTCTGTTTAATCTGAAGTATTTTGTGGCTGGTTGATCTTGAAGCTTTGAGACTTATTGGCTAAACTCCTGCATGGAACATAGAGGATCCTGCATGGACATATGCTTCTTGTCCCTACTCCAGGTCACTAGAGCTTTGATGGCTCAGTGCTACGAAATTCTTGGATTTGTAGTTTTATGAGATATGTAGCTTTACTTGTCAGAGAGTTCTGTACCCCACCAAACTACAAACTCCATATTTCCATAACATTGAGCCATGAAAATTAAAGTGATGTAAAACTGCTTTATTTCTGTAGTGTAACAGCAGCCTAGGAGCAGCAAGGCAGGTATTGCATCAGGAACCCAATGGAGGCCGAGAAAGGCAAGTGGTCATGGGATAGTAGATCAGTGATCAACATCCCTATGAGGTTTCTACTAAAGTGGCTGGCCCCTTTCAGTGAAGTCATACCTGCCCTTCTTTGAAACCACCTCTTCCAAATCCTCTAAAACCCAGGCCCTAAAAAGGTTATATTTTGGACTACAAATCCCAGACTCTCCAGCCAGCCTGGCTACTAGCCCTGGTGAGTGAAAGATTCTGGGACTTGTAGTAAATAATATAAAATAAAATTACCAAGCTCTGTCCAAATCTGAAGTTGACTTTTATTGATCTCATTTCCCCAGTAAGTATTTTCAGATTAGGAACTTAGGATTTTAAGCGAGCTCTTTCCTTGGATTCCTAGCATCACATCATCTATTGCAAAATCCTGCAGGGCTGCTGTTTCCCACCTAGTCATAGATCAAAGCTGCTCTTCTCCTAGAGGAACTGCATCAAGAACAGTCCTGAGAAGCTCATCTCACATGTGGGTGGGAAATACAACTTAATTTTACTCCTCAAAATTGAATACAAACCTGCTTCTTTGGATAGTTTAATATTAATTAGAAGAGAGGGTTGTCAGATTCCTCATCTGGAAAACCAATTGGAAAGTTTGCATAAGTGTGTACTTAGGATCTTATATTACCCAAATGAGGCCCAAACAACTGCCATAGTAAGCTAATTCCACAGCAAGATAATTCAGCAGCTGTATTAGAAAGACATGAAAACAATAATAAAGATATTACAAGGAAGCCAGAAGCCTATTATGTTCAACCTCCTGCTTGCAAATCAAATAGACACAGATACACGGCTTGCATCACCCTCAACTCTTTGAGCTAAAATAGAAAATTCAGGGAGGGCAGAACATAGTCTGATAAGGGGGGCCAGAATGGTGTAATGGTTTGCGAGCTGAACTATGACTTTGGAGACCAGGGTTCGAATCCCTGCTTGGCCATGGAAACCCACTGGGTAACCTTGGGCAAGTCATGCTTTTTCAGCCCCAGAGAAAGGCAAAAGTAAATCCCCTTTATTCAAATCTTGCCAAGAAATCTCCATGCTAGGTTTGCCTTAGGGTCACAATAAGTTAAAAATGACTTGATGGCACACTGCAACAACTGATGAACGTCTGATTACCCAATCTGCCAAACAGTTTGGAACAACCATCATTCATGGAAAACAGAGCTTGAAATGATTTCATATAGTTAATATCTATGAATGTCTCTACATAATTAAATAATATGGTTGCTTTAGGGCTGCCTTGTCTACTTATTTTATCAGTTACAGATGAATAACTTCCATTAATATTTATTAAAAAGGTGTCCTGATTAATCAGGCAGTCACTAAAGTATATGACCTCAAATACAGATATGCATAAAACCCTTGAATGTTAAGTGGCCTCTAAGAAGAGACATCTTTCAATCTTTAATGCACAGGATGAAATGTCTGTGCAATCCTCAGTGTAAACCATATGGCATATTGAGGAACAAGATTGTGCCAATTGACTTAGCTTTCACCCTATCATATTTCTATACAAACAGATGGAAAGTACAGCAATTATGGCAGAAAACTTGGAGCGAGACTGACTGACCATTGGAAAACATACTGTGAAAGTGGTGGCAGCAAAGAAACTGTACTTCTCTGCCACCACTGCATCTGCACAGTGTCATCCAGTGCAGTTGTCTTGACTGTTATGGGTCTTCTATACTCTGCCCTACAAGAAAGAAATTCAGACAACTGAACAGTCCACTGTGAAGAATTTGCAAGACACTTTTGCAGGTCCAGTGGATGAAACCTTGGCACCTGCTTGTCCTGAGCTATTGTATACATTCTAATTTGTGCAGTCTAAGGATAGGGATAGGATCCTTGGGGAGATGAGAACCAACACTTGTGTACTGAACATGTGTTCATCACTTTGGGAAGCCCTTGTGGACTGGGAGGCATACTTTAATGCTTTAAATAAATAAATAAAATTAATAAATACTGAGCACTTGCCCTTCCTGGTTCCTGAAAACAGTTAGAAAGGGACTGTCCAAGTGGGTTTAGGGAAAACAAACTGCATCAAGCCTTCTTTCTCTGGGCCGCCCCTGCTAGCAGCAGATCAGGTCTGTGGCAACCCCAGGCCATGGTCCCAATCCTCCTTTTGTCACCCCCAAAAGAGCAGCAAAATGCCGCTTCTTTTATGGGCAGCAAAAGGCCACCCTAAAAGCTGGCACCACGGCTCTTCCACACCCTTTTGGTGCAGTGTGTATTCACACTGTGCCAGGAGGGCATCCTGATGCTGTGCACTGTGCAAATAGGCAAGCAGCATCAGGATGGCATCAGGATGGAGTTGAGGTGGCCGGTGTGTGGCTGCCTCACCCCAACTCCACCCCCAGGCTGGCCTTTTGGGCCAGTCTTCAAAGCCCCTAAAAGAGGCTGTGATGAGGCTAATACCATGCAAGAGAATTACAAGACAGTTTCCAACGTTCCTTTTCTCTGAAAGGTTCTAGAGCAGGGATAGGCAACCTTTCCCCTTTAAGGGCCGAGGGACTTCAGCTCCCAGAAGCCTCAGCCATGTTGGCCAATAGTCCTATGTTGGCCAATAGCTCCTGGGATTCTGGGAGCTGAAGTCCCTCGGCCCTTAAAGGGGAAAGGTTGCCTACCCCTGTTCTAGAGCATGTGGTAGCCTCTCAGCTCCAGGGATTCCTGGATGAAATGGATTGTGTAGATCCATTTCAATCTGGCTTCATTGCTGGCTATCGGACAGAGTGCAGCTTTGGTCACTCTGGTGTACTAGCTATGCAGGAAATTGGACAGTGGAAGTATATGCCTATTGGTTCTGCTGGCCCTCTTTGCTGGACCTTTTGATACCATTAACCATGATATCTGTCTGAGTTGCCTCTCTGAAATGAGAGCTGGGGGCACTGTTTTACAGTGATTCTGGTCTTTCTGGAGTGGCAAACTCATAAGCTGGTGTGGAAGGATTCCTGATCCATGCCCTGGTTTTTGGCATTTGTGGTCTCTCCAGGCTTGGTTCTGTCCCCCATAATATTTACTTAATATCTAAATGAAATCACTGCGAGATATTATTTGGAGTTTGGAGTTCAGTGTCACCAACATTCAGCTCCATCTCTCTTTTCTATCTGATTCTAAGGAAACTGTCTCAGTTCTGAACCAATGTCTGCTATCATTAATGGACTGGATCAGGGCAAACAACTTGAAACTTGATCCAGGCAAGCTAGAAGTTATCCTGGACAGTCAAAAAGCAAATAAGGGAATAAATACTTTGCCTGTGCTGGATGGGGTTATGGTCACCCTGAAATCTCAAGCTTGCAGCTTGAGGGCACTCAGTCCTGAGCCTAGAGGTCCATGTTTCAGGAGTGGCTAGGAGTGCATTTGTATAGCTGTGCCCATTCCCTTTAAAGTAAGATCTAGTACGGTAACACATACATTGATCACATCCCATTTGGACTATTGCAGCACACTCAACATGGGGCTGCCTTGGAAACTGTTCAGAAACTTCATTAGGTCCAAAATGTTGTGGCGTACTTACTGAGCTAGTCACAAAGAGTGTATAATTCCCTTGTTGAACCAGCATCACTGGCTACTGTTTTTTTTTCTGGGCACAATTCAAAGTGCTGGTCATGACCTCTAAAGCCCTATACAGCTTAGGTCTAGGCTGTATAGAGCTGTATCTCCCTATATGAACCTGCTAGAACCTTAAGTTCCCCAGAGGAAGACCCACCAGGTCTGGCAAGGGCACAGGAGAGAGCCTTCTCAGTTACTGCTCCTACCCTATGGAACTTTCTTCCACAAGAGGCTAGGCTGGCCCCCTTCCTATTATCACTTTTATGATAAATGGTTTAATTATTATTGTCATCATGTATTATAATAATTTGGCTCACAATTTTTGAGTAGCTTTATGAAGTAAACACAAGACAGTGACATGCTGTCTAGGGGATTCTGAGAAGTGTGATCCAGCAAGGTAACATGTATATGAATTTATAGGAAAGTGTTGTTTGTAAGCCTGGGTTATGAAAAAGTTACAACAACAGCCTGTGTACGCTGTATTCTGTATTCCCATGAGGTCCAGAAATCAAAACCTCAGAATTTTTCAAGTTAGTGAAATGGATTTTCTCCCATTGAATGCTAATGTTACAGAAGCATTTGCTGTCTTGGCACATTTTTGAGGCAGAGTGTTTTTGAGGAAATGCAGTGAGTGATCCATCTGTTTTTTTTTTTACCCACAGCATTTGCAGTGATAATATTTATATTTTTCTTGTACAAGTTAAACTGCCAGAAGTGCCTTATAACTGCTGTTATGATATCCTCTTAACTTAGGTCGAAGTCCTCCAGATTTCTATAACTTCTATAAATTCACCAACTGGTTATGCTGGCTAGGAATAATGGGAACTAGAATCAAATAATAGTTCAACTGGAGATTGGCAAAATGTGGCTTGCAACAAAGCAGGAATCCAGGATTGGAGGGTCAAAAATGCCCAGCTGGGCTAGAACATTTTTAGACCCTGCAATCTGGGATTGTCCTGGTTTTCTGGGATATATGGCAACTTTACTTCTAACAAAGATAGAAGCTGGGTATAAATAAAAAAATATTATTATTATATTATTAAAGATTCATCCAGCAAATGAAGGACAGTAACTGGAGGTAAGAGATTTGCCTGAAACAGGCACCATGGATTATACGCACTCTGGAGTTTCAAGTGAATTAGTTTTGTTGACCCTGTCCATGGTACTGGAAGATCATGAGATGAAAACTATGAAGAAACCACAGAAGATCCAGCCCTTCCAATGAAAACAATAAATGTTGTTGGCATACCCTAATTGGGTTTATGGATCTTAGTGCTACACTGAAACAAGAACTACAACTTTTTACATTTTTGCAAACTGCTATATGCTTTGTCAGCTCTCTATTTCAGTTAGTTGCTCTGTCCTACCTTCCATCCTCCTGCTGCTGAATTTTTATGCATTGACAGATAAGTGGCCATTATCATAATTCTAAGGATGCCCTAGGGGTACTGTCCTGGAAATCTTTTATGCAGGATTTCCTGGAAATCAGAAGATGTTCCTTATTAGTGATCGATACATCATGCAAATACTACTACTACCCAAGTTTCCATGGATACAGAAATAATCCCTAGAGTACAAAAATCCCAGAGTGGCATTATGCCCATTAAGTAATAAAACTTTGCAATTTTTTTTTTAATCATGTAAAGAACATTAGGAAGAATTGAATGGTTAGGATACTGAATGGTTAGTATATTCATTATATGAATACTAGTATTGTATTATGATATCCATTTCTATATTAGATATGATGTGATTCAAAAACTTTGGTCTGCAGATCCATTAGATCCATTAGACTACATTCCTGAACAACACATCCTCAGACTAAAATGAAATAGAATAAAATATAAATCTCAGAGCAAAGTCAGATAACTATTTCTCTGACATTATAACCAAGAGACAGAAATGTTACTTTTTGTTTTACAGTTTTCAGAATCTCAAGTTAATTGGAGGATGCTGGGAATTGTAGCCAGCAATTTCTATATGTGCTTGTCCTTCCTTAAGGAATATACCACATGTAAGCTAATGACGGCAGATGTAAAATTGTTTCAACATTTAAATTTTCTGACATAGGTTAATAGAAGGGTCAAACCCCATGCTATGTTAAACAGCTAAGGACTTTTATTTTACTCAAATGTAATCATACATACCAATTGAATGTATCATTTTTTCACTCCCTCAAGATAAAATAAGAAATGAGGGAAGGTTTAACCTCCTGCAACCATGCACACTGTTCTTGATCTACATTGGGATTGCCCATAGTAAAGATGAATCTTTATTTGTATAATATGTGTTTCAACTAGCTTATAGTTAAGAAGTCAGAGACAGATCTTCTAGTTTCAGAAATACTAGTCTTCCATCTTCAGGCCATTTTTATATGGAGATGGTTTC